GGCCAGGCCGGTGTGGCTCAGTGTTTGAGTGTGACCTATGAACCAGGAGATCACGGTTCCATTCCTGGTCAGGGCACATGCCTGGGGAGGTGGGGGGGCGTGCAGGAGGCAGCCAAACAATGATCCTTTCTCACCATTAATGCTGCTATCTCTCTCTCTCCCTCTTCCTTCCTCTCTGAAATCAATAATAATAAAAAAATACGCACACACACATTTTTTTAAAGAAAGAATGGTGAGAGAAACCAAGATGGCGGCATAGGTAAACATCGGAATTGCTGCCTCACACAACCACTTCAAAAATACAAAAGACAAAACGGACATCATCCAGAACCACAGGAAGGCTGGCTGAGTGGAAATTCTACAACTAGAAGGAAAGAGAAAAGCACACTGAGACTCGGAGGAGCTGCGGAAGTAAAGTGCAGAGGAACGGAGGCGCATGTGGAAAGGGCTGGCAACTGAGGACGCGGCTGTCTTTTTGGAAGGCAGCTATGCTCACCACTATACCACCAATGCTCGGCTGTCTTTTTGAATCAGGAGGGAGTCTCAAGCTCCCGACTGCTCTGAACTCCAGTTCTGGGCGAGTCTCTGGGGACCCAGACTCATACGGGGAGAAACTGGACTGTCTGGCAGAACTTGGAACTCGAGGGCAGCTTTCCCTCAGAGGTGCTTGCAGCGATTACTGGGACACTGAGACACTGGGCCCCTTAGGGATCAGCCACAGCTGCTTGCTCCGCCCTTTGATTCCCTGAGACCCGGCCCCACCCAGGCTGCGGCAGAGGCTTTTGCATATGAATGCCCTGGTCCTTTGCAACCTGAAAATTACCTAACAAATTGCAGCTGGGCCAGACAGACCCAGAACTTCCAAGAGAAGGCCCAAGGCCCCACAGCAGCTTGCATTGCTTCACAGCTGGGCCTCATCTGGGCACCTCCAAACCCCAAACAATGAAGGGGAATCTGCAGATCTCTCCATAGCTCCTGCTGGGTAGCCTCAGGCAGAGGCTAAATTAGCACCTCCTTAGAGATCCGAGAGCCAGTGTACCCAGTGGTGAGAGTGGGACCATCCAGATTACAACTCCTCAGATCCATAAGGGACACACTCAGGGGGCACACTCAGTGAGCACCAAAGCCCCAATGAAGCAAGTCTTGCCCCAGGAGGGGTGTCTCCAGCACAGAAGTTCTCCCACTGCAGACACAGCTGATTCTCACAGCCAATTGGCCTGGAGGTCAATTCCTCCCAGTGATCCTATAACAATCAAGGCTTAACTACAACAAGACTGTGCACAAAGCCCACAAGGGGGTACACCAAGAGTGTCCACCTCAGGTAATTGTGGAGGCGGAGCCACTGGGCCCTATAGGACACCTAGCACAGAAAGCCACTCTATCAACACAGGGAAGCATAAAAAATGCGGAGACAAAGAAACAGGTCACAAATGACAGAAATGGAGGAAAGCAAACTACTGGATATAGAGTTAAAAACCACACTTCTAAACCACACTTCTAAATTCTTTTCAAGAATTTTCTAGAAACTGCTGATAAATTTAGTGAGACCCTCAAGAAATCTAGTGAGACCCTTGAGGTTATGAAAAAGGACCAACTTGCCGAAACCGGTTTGGCTCAGTGGATAGAGCGTCGGCCTGTGGACTGAAAGGTCCCGAGTTCGATTCCGGTCAAGGGCAAGTGCCTGGGTTGCGGGCACATCCCCACTGGGAGATGTGCAGGAGGCAGCTAATTGATGTTTTTCTCTCATCGATGTTTCTAAATCTCTATCTCTCTCCCTTCCTCTCTGTAAAAAAAATCAATAAAATATATTTAAAAAAAAAGAAAAAGAAAAGGACCAACTGGAAATTAAGCATACACTGACTGAAATAAAGAATATTATACAGAGTTCCAACAGCAGACTAGAGGACCCCAAGAATCAAGTCAAAGATTTGAAATACGACGAAGCAAAAAACACCTAACTGGAAAAACAAAAAGAAAAAAAGAATCCAAAAATATGAAGATAGTGTAAGGAGCCGCTGGGACAACTTCAAACGTACCAACATCCAAATTATGGGGGTGCCAGAAGAGAGAGAGCAAGATATTGAAAACCTATTTGAATAATGACAGAAAACTTCCCCTACCTGGTGAAAGAAAGACTTACAAGTCCAGGAAGCACAGAGAACCCCAAACAAAAGGAAGCCAAAGAGGACCACACCAAGACACATCATAATTAAAATGCCAAGAGCAAAAGACAAAGAGAGAATCTTAAAAGCAGCAAGAGAAAGAAAGTCAGTTACCTACAAGGACGTACCCATACGACTGTCAGCTGATTTCTCAACAGAAACTTTGCAGGCCAGAAGGGAGTGATGAATGCCAAGAAACTACAACCAAGATTACTTTATCCAGCAAAGCTATCATTCAGAATTGAAGGTCAGATAAAGAGCTTCACAGGTAAGAAAAAGCCAAAGGAGTTCATCACCACCAAACCAGTATTATATGAAATGCTGAAAGGTATCCTTTAAGAGGAAGAAGAAAAAGGTAAAGATACAAATTATGAACAACAAATACATATCTATCAACAAGTGAATCTAAAAATCAAGTGAATAAATAATCTGATGAACAGAATAAACTGGTGATTATAACAGAATCAGGGGCATAGAAAGGGAGTGGACTGACTATTCTCGAGGGGTGTGGGGGTGCGGGAAGAGACTGGACAAAAATTGTGCACCTATGGATGAGGACAGTGGGGGGGGGGGGGCGAGGGTAAGGGCAGAGGGTGGGTTGGGAACTGGGTGGAAGGGAGCTATGGGGGGAAAAAAGAGGAACACCTATAATAATCTGAACAATAAAGATTTAATTTAAAAGAAAGAAGGAAGGAAAGAAAGGGGGGAGGGAGGGAGGGAAGGAAGGGAGGTGGGTGGGTAGGTAGGTGACAGCCAGGGGCTGGGGTTATGTTTGGTGAATACGGAGCTGGGTCTGGGAAGGATAAAACAAGTCCTAGAGATGAATGGTGGTGAGGGTTTCACAACAACGTGAATGTACTTAATGCCACTGAACACCTAAAAGTGCTTCAAATGGTCTGCTTCATGTTGTGTATTTTTTTACCAAAACAAAACTAAAAATAACTTCACCTAATATTCCTTTTCTAGGCATTTTAAATAGGTTTAGTCAAGGATTCAGAAATGCTCTGCAGTGGGCACAGCCCTGGAAACATCTGGAAGGTGTTGCCTGGAGTGGGATCGTCGGCCTCCCGTGTCCGAGAGCCCAGGACTCACACACAGACACTGCCCCAGCAACCGGGCTCCTCCTCTTCTCAGAGCAGCCGCCCGTACAAGTGTCTCTACAGCTTCCCAGGCAGGACTACGGAGAACCCCCTCCCATGCCAGGCTGACCCTCTGGTCAACGAACCCTGCAGCCCCGCCTGATGCGGTTGTAGCAGTGACTGGTTTGGAGGATCTTCAACAAGTGGAAGCCATGGTAAAAGCTGGCAGGTGAGAAGCAGACCACCTGGTCCCACAACTACTTCTCCGTAGAAGGGTTTCTCTGGGTCACCACAGAAGCCAAGCGGGGTGGCTTCTCCACCTCTCTGACCCCAACTTTTCGTGTTCTTTCAGCCATGGTGGCCTGGGATCTAGGGGACTGGTGACACAAATAAGGCAATTCCTGGGGGCCATGTGCAAGGGTGATATCATGGAACCTAAGAGGCCAGTGGGGCAAATCACCCTCAGGTACTGAGCCACTACGTCCCCCTCTTTCTCGGGTCAAGACCACTTTCACCATAAAACTCAAGAAGGGAGGCAGGCGTACCGGGCCTGTATGGATGGCATCCGAGTCCCGGTCTGTGAGATGAGAAAGCCAGCCGGGAAGCTTGCTGCTTTCTACTGAATCCTGGACCTGGATGGGTGGTGTGTGTGGAAGGAATCTAGGCCCAGGCCCTGGAGGTGGGTGGGGAGGGGGAAGGCTGGTCACAGGCTCACAAATTAGATTCAGCTGAGCAGCGCAGGGGGAACCCCTCATTCGGATCCGGTGGCGGGGCTGGTCTCTCCCTTCTCTCCCCAGGCAGGTGCAGTGGGCTGGTTAACCAACAGATGCAAGCTCTGTAGGGCTGGCCAAGCCCAGGCCAGAGGCACTAATCTTGGCGGTGGGATCCCACATCTGGGCCAGTAAGCAACAGCAGATGAAGGCATAGATGCGAGTCACATCTCAATCATGTTCTATAGGAGACACCTTATCCTCCAGATTCCTAACTTGGGAACCGTGCAAGATGCAGACAATGGAACAGTGCAGGACACACCAAGCCGTTTTCATCCAGCACACGAGCCAATCACCGGTGCACGAGATGGACTTGCTAACAGAAGAGCCAGTGAGGAACTGCCCTGGCCCAGCTACTCTTCTCTCTCGCTGGTCCTGAGGCCGCTAGTCTCGCCCACCTCTGTGCCATGCTTAGCAAGGTGACTTTTCTGAAACAACCCTGTTACTTCCTGCAGACAACTCAGTTTAGTGGCTTCCCATTTGACCCGAAGGTAAATTCTGAATTCCTCCACAGGTGAGCACACAAAGATCTCCTGTGACCCCCTCTACCCCCGCCCCAGTCCCAGCTCTCCAACAGTCTAGTCCAGCGGTTCTCAACCTGTGGGTCGCGACCCTTTGGCGGTCGAATGACCTTTTCACAGGGTCGCCTAAGACCATCCTGCATATCAGGTATTTACATTACGGTTCATAACAGTAGCAACATTACAGTTACGAAGTAGCAACAAAAATAATTTTATGGTTGGGTCACAACACGAGGAACTGTATTTAAAGGGCCAGAAGGTTGAGAACCGCTGGGTCTGTATTGCAATCTCAGGCAGTTCCTCTCCTCCCCTCCACCCTCGCTGCTCGCCCCCAGGGCCGGGCCAGGCTTCTCCTGTTCACTGCTACACCCTGAGCAGAAAGCGCGTCGCACGGCAGACCCCAACCACGCGCTGACTTATAACATTAAGGAATGCGATCCCTCAAGGAGCGAAAATAAATCTTCCGACCAGAGCTGGGAGCTCAAGTCCAGGCCACACAAAAAGACGACGATGCATCTTCCCTCTGAAGTGTTCCCGCCTCACATGAAACCCACAGATGAACGGGAGCCCATGCGTCCCCGCATCCATTTAACTAAAAGACAAGAAAAAGAAAAATGAGAACATGCCCCTCACTGTCCGCCTTTCGCCACCAGCCGGCCCCACACCCCTGCTTCCGGGCCGCGAAGGCCTGGTCCTGCCGGCAGGGACGCGAGGCGCTGGTTCGCTCCGCCGGCAGCCGGGGGCCGCGTGACCTTGGGCGGCGGGAGCCGAGTGCAGGCCGAGACCCAAGGCGGGCTCCGGGGACGGAACCAAGGTGGGCCCGGGGGTGTCGACGGGCGCGGACGCGGATCAGACAAAAGCCACCCCCCTCCCCCCCCCAGCAAGTCGGCTGCCGCGGGCTCCGGGCGGCTCGGGGGCCGGGGCGCTCTCCCCCCTCCCTCCACGGGTCGCAGGGGTCCCTCACCGAGCACGACGTTCCGGGCCCCGCGCCGCGGCGTGGGACCCCGACTCCGCTCCGACACCTGTCTGCCGGCACCCAGGGGGCGGGCCTCCGCCCGAGCGGTCACGGGCTCCACCCCCGACCGGAAGACGAGGACTCCCTGAGCTCAGGCCCCAGCGGGGCGCCCCCAACCTTGCAGCCCGGAGGAGGCCCCGCCACGAGGTCCAGGCGGGCTCGCAGGCCCACTGCTGTGGGGACCGGCGCGAACACACAAAGGCGGCGGCGTCAGCAGGAACAAAAACCTGGCCCCGTCCCCCCCGAGGCCCACCGCCCTGCGCCCGGGGCCGCCGCCCTGCCCGACTCTCCGGGTGACCTTGGGAGCGTCCCTCCACCCCCCACCCCAGCCTCAGTTTCCCCGATTATGCTACTAACCGAGCGCAGCAGGCCGCCGCCCGCCCGAGCAGCCGAGACCCAGGGCGAGGCCTCCCCACTTCTGTTGACCCCGCCGGGCCGGGCTCCTGCAACCACGCGGACGGCGGCGCGGGCGGGCGGGCGAGGAGGCTCGCGGTCCCGGGGAAGGCCCGGCGTCGGGGCCTGAGGGACGTCGGACGCGCCACGGCGCCTCCTGGGCCGCAGCTCCAAGGTTTCTGCAGGCCGCGCGGCCGCCTGAGCCCCGTACCCGCCCGGCCCTGGCCTGCCGCTCCCTCCCCGCGAGGCCTGGCTGTACCTGGGCTGCTCTGGGCTGGTAGGCGCCCCGCCGACGCACTCGAGCTAGGAAGCACCTTCGGAAGAGGCTGCGGAGAGGCACTCCAGCCAGACGCCACCACCTCAATAGAGACCCACTTCCGCTCCGGAGGCCTTGGCTCCGCCCCCTGGCGTTTCTATTAGCTGCCGCCAGCTCTGCTCCCGCGTTTTACGGGTCGAGGGGGTATATTTTCAATGCTATTGGAAGAGATAACCGTCTATTACCGCTTTGAAACGCGGCTTCCGGCCCCGCTCAGTCTCGCGAGCTCAAGCTCCCATCTCCTCGCGCGAGATACGCGGCCGGTGCCCCTCGCTCGCCCGCAAGGCCTCCCGGGAGTTGTGGTCTGCGGGGGTAGAACGGCGGACGGGCGGCGGGGAGCGGGACTGTGGGGCATGCGGCCCTTACGCTCTCTGGTACCCGACCTAATCCGCCCCTCTCCCGGCCTCCGCTTCCTCCCCTATTGGAGAGGCCTTTGTGAACTATGTTCCCGGGGGAAAGTGGGCCTGGGTCCGCAGCCCCTCCAGGGTGCCCTGGGCCGGAGTCTCCCTGTGGCGCTAGACCCTGAGCAGCACAGCCCGGCCTACCTGCCGGAACCCGGAGGAGGCGCTCGACCCAGACTAGGGCAGCGCCAGGAAGAGGCGGCCCTTCTTCCTCTGCAGGCTGGGGCTGCTTAGTGTGGAGACAGCGCCTGGACCAGGCATGCCCTGCCTCCACCCGCCTTTGGATTGCCAGTTCTGGGAGCTAATGATTCCCCTTTGAATCTCCTGGATCTCCCGAGGGCCTCCCTGGACAGGTCATCATCAATGTATTTCCTTGCTATCAAATGAAATGGGTTTGAGACACACACAGAATACAAGAAATGCCATGCTTATTTCTCTAAATGAAATTTAATCTCCCAGCTCTAATTTAAGAAATGTATATTTTATTGATTTCAGAAGGGAAGGGAGAGAGAAACATCAATAATGAGCCCTAGCCGGTTTGGTTCAGTGGTTAGAGCTTCGACCTGCGGACTGAAGGGTCCCAGGTTCGATCCCTGTCAAGGGCAAGTACCTTGGTTGCAGGCTCCTCCCCAGTGGGGCCACATGCTGACCAGACCGGCTCAGGGGAGGCCTGCATGGCAGACTTGCAAACTCAGAGACCTAGAGTCACCACAAAGGATGGTCTGAAATTAAACTTTAACTAAAAGCAGTGATGGTGGGCAGTTACGTCCTGGGCCAGTATCTTCACAGACGAGGTCAACCTTTACCTTAACTGAGCCTGTCTGTCTTTTTGCATCTATGATAACACACCCTTGAAATGTCTGGGTAACTTGTAACTTCCCTTTTTCTGGAGCCCCTGGGGCACAACCAAATGTGCTGGGCGCCAGGACAGAGACCACCAATTCCTTCATTATCATGTTAATTGTTCCTGCGCCCACCTAAGTATGTGTCCATCATTTTACTTTTTATCCAATCCCAGGGGTTTCCTCGCTTTGCTTTATCCCTCCTCCTTAATCTGTCACCAATGAATTCCATGTAACCCACCTATGTCCCTCCTTTGATTGCAAATGTATTAATACAGATGTAACCCCGCCATTCTCCGGAGCATTATCTCAATTCGTTGAGGTTCTGCTTCCCGGCATATGTTGTAAACTCACAAAAGTTCTTTACAGGTTTCAATGGTTTTTACATTAACACCAGCCAGGGCCCTGGTCAGGGCATGTGCAGGAGGCAACCAATCGATGTGTTTTTCTCACATCGATATTTCTGTCTTTCTTTCACTCTCTAAAAATCAATGGAAAAATATCCTCAGGTGAGGATTTTTAAAAAAAGAAACATCAGTGATGAGAGAGCATCATTGAGCGGCTGCCTCCTGCATGCCTCCTGCTGGGACTCCAGCCCACAACCTGGGCATGTGCCCTGACCTGGAATCCAACCGTGACCACCGTGACCATCTGGTTCATAGCTGGACACTCAACCACTGAGCCACACTGGCAGGGCTCCCAGCTCTAATTGGACAGGGAGGTGGGAAATTCCTCTCTTTACCAGTCTGGGTTGTGGGCAAGTCCTGGGGTTCTAACGCAGTTCAGAATACTGTGGGAGAACTCTGTTCTTTTTGCTCTTGTCACTTGGAGTTACCTACCTTCCTGACGAATGTCCTGGGGTCCAGCCTCCCCCTCTGAGGTGTCATCTCTGCAGACCCAAGCAGGGTGGGGGGTTGGGGTCTCTCTCCTGAACCTCTGCCCACCTGGCAGTCTCCGGGCCCCGCGCCGTGGGCTTGCCCCCTGTCTCCTTCCTGGGAGTGGCAGCTTAGCCAGCCTGTTCCCAAGGCCACCCCCTCTCCAGCCTGGGGCTGGGACCCAGGACCCAGGAGAACGAATCCATCCCTGTCCCCGGCAGGCAGGAGCCCAGCGGCTCAACCTTGGGTGATGCTGAGGGGATGGGCAGTGCTTAGCTTTGGGCCCTGGTTCTGGGCCATGTCACCTCACCTCTCGGCACCAGGGTTCACCCACTGAATAGGGATGGGGGACAAGTCCCACCCCACCCGACCTCCCATTGCTGTTAGGTTTACATGAGAAGGGCCAGTTCCCAGCGGCTCAAGAACCCTGGCCACTTCTCTGACCAAACACAATCACACACCCAGTCTTCGGGTCCGGATTAAGCCACTGGACTCTGGACACTGTGCAGGTGGCAGGTTTCTACGTCAGAGGGGGTTCTGGTGCCAGAGGCCGGGAAGCAGGGCATGATGGGGGCAGGGAAGGGAAGGTGGCCTCGTTTAGCACATCAAATACGGGCGGGCAGGTTGCCGAAACCCGGTTTGGCTCAGTGGATAGAGCGTCAGCCTGCGGACTGAGAGGTCCCGGGTTCGATTCCGGTCAAGGGCATGTGCCTGGGTTTCGGGCACTTCCCTGGTGGGGGATGTGCAAGAGGCAGCTGATCAATGTTTCTAACTCTCTCTATCGCTCTCCCTTCCTCTCTGTGAAAAATCAATAAAATATATTTGAAAAAAAAAAAAAATACGGGCGGGTTGACTGGATTCCAAACAAAGAGCCGATACTCCATTGGCATCAGGGTGTCTCCATCCCGCGTCCGGCGTTCGGGCTGGCAGCGCCACTCGGGGCAGGTGGAGCCTGGGCGGGGCGGAGGGGGCGGCAGAGCCAGAGGAGGCGCACAGGCGGGTCGCACGCTTTATTACGCGGGGATCTCGGGTGCAGGGACGCTCTGGCCCCGCTCAGGCGACGCGGGGTCTCGGGGTGCAGGGGCGCGCTCCCCCGGCTCAGGCGGCCTCCAGGCGGCTGGCGGGCCCGCAGGCCGAGCTCCCCTGCTGCAGCGCCCGCAGCCTGCGCTCGCGGCTCTGCTCCAGCCTCAGCCAGTGCTGCGCCTCCAGCTGCGCCTGATGCCGCGGGAGGAGGGGAAGGGGGGAGAGGGTCGGCTCAGTCCCCGGCGCCCCTCCGCCCCCCGCCCTCCCCGGGTCGGCCGGTCCGGGCTCACCCGCGGCTTGGGGCGCGCGGCCCGCGAGGCCGGCACCGTAGGCTGGGCCGCCTGCCTGCGGCGCTCCGCCACCTCCTCCATCCGGCGCTGCAGCTCCTGCACGCGCTCGTCCTGGGACGGTGTGGCCTGGGCCTCCGGGGTCTTCTCCTGCCCCCTGGGCGTGCGACAGGGGCCTTAGCAGGGGCTGAAGGAGTGGAGGGCGGGGAGAGGCACGGCCAGGGCCTCCACCTTTTTGCTAACATTTGAGGAAAGCATCCCATATGCATGCACCGTGTGTATTTGGGGTAAAGGGAGCGCTCCCCTTTACCTTGTGCCCCCCCCCCCCCCGCCCCAATTCCCTAGAAGCAACACCTGGGACTTGGTGCTGTCTCTGCCAACCTTTCCGCACCGTCCAGGCCACTTTCCTCTTGAAGTGAGAAGCCTTATAGCAGTGGTTCTCAACCTTCTGGCCCTTTAAATACAGTTCCTCATGTTGTGACCCAACCATAAAATTATTTTCGTTGCTACTTCATCACTGTCATGTTGCTACTGTGATGAATCGTCATGTAAATATCTGATATGCAGGATGGTCTTAGGCGACCCCTGTGAAAGGGTCGTTCGACCGCCAAAGGGGTCGCGACCCACAGGTTGAGAACCGCTGCCTTTAAGGGCACATCACAGCCCCCGGGCCTTGGCAGGTGCGGTTCCCGCAGCCACCCTGCTGCCTGGCTGCCTGCAGCCGGACCGCCCACTAACACACCCCAAACGTCCAGCCAGCGTGGGCTCGGTGGTTGAGGTCGACTTATGAACCAGGAGGTCACGGTTCTATTCCCGGTCAGAGCACATGCCGGGGTTGCTGGCTTGATCCCCAGTGGGGGGCGTGGGGGAGGCAGCTGATGAATGATTCTCTCTCATCATTGATGTTTCTCTCTCTCTCCCTCTCCCTTCCTCTCTGGAATCAATAAAAGTATCTTTAAATAAATAAATAAAACGCCCCTAATGAACTAATGCCATGGGGTTGGCTCCACGCAGGCGGCTCCAGGAGCTGTGGGGAGCCAACCCCATGGCATTAGTTAGCAGGTTTGGACGCCTCCAACCTACCTATCACTCCATCACTGGTGGGTAAGGCCCCTGCTAAGCCGCCCTGTTGCCGGCCCAGGTGGGAGGAGAAGACACGCGGCCCAACGCTAACCAGACTGTACTTGGGGGGCTGTCAGGGCAGTTGGGAGGGCGAGGTCTCCCTGCGCACACCGCCTTGGGGAGCTGCAGCGCCGTCCCAGGCCTCCTCGAGTCATAACCGGGGCCACAGACACTCGGGACCACAGCACTAGATCTGCGCTGTCCTTCCGTCTGCCCACCCCGCCCAGCTACGCTCAGACACCCCCTCTGGAGCTGTGTGTGCCAGCCCCTGAGCTGGCTGTGCTCTGACAGAGCTGGGTGCCACCTCCACCTCCCCTGGGCAGCCTGGCTTCCCCACGGGTCAGGACAGGGCCCAAAGGCCAGCCCATCCCGGGGCTGACGCCAGCCACTGCCTGACCGAATGCCATGGACAGCCACGTGGAGCTGGGACAGTCACCGCAGGGCTCCCCAAATGAACGAAAAGGGGTCCCGCACATGCTCTGGGGAGAGGGGAGGGGGAACAGGACGCTCACAATCCCATGCTGTCGATGTTTCAAAGGGAAAAGTTCCGCAAACAACTCAGGACCCCGGCCA